CAGCTTGGCAGACCCGACGAGATTCGGGGCGATCTACAGACACCAAGAAAAGGGTCCTTCGCCGTTTGGCAAGAAGGCGTGTGAAGAAGCTTCCGACTCTGCATGGCATTGCCGGACGCCATTCCGCAATCCATCGTCGATCCGTGAGGACGCTGGCTCCGGCTTCGTGGGATTGTCAGATGGGAGACAAAATACGCAGTATTGCGTACCTACCACAGTACAGTAGGTACGACACGTGCTATCCGACACCAGGGTATGGCTGCGAATAATTGATTGACTTGCTTCCAAAGAGGCACCAAGTATGAGATTCAATACCGTCGCATTGAAATTGCAGCGAGAAGGCGTGCAAAGACCCCGCCTATGCCCCTTCTTCGTCAGCTTTGCACTGTGAGCACTCAGGACGAGCGCTGCCATCGAGATCAGACGGGAGGGGAAAGTTGGTGTTAGAGAACAAATCAGCCTGTCGGCTGTCGTTCACGTCCTGCATCGCGTGGTATGACAGAAGGCTCGTTCAAAAAAGCTTCTTCGCGGGCTGTCACGAGTCCTAGCAGTGGAGAGTCCGTCGTCGTCTAATTGAGGCTGGCATTCGACTATTGAATTATCGTTGGGCAATAAGGAAGAATCACTCAGGCGCGCCACCATCTAACGGATTCGGCAAGCAGAAAGCGGTGCTGCTCGATATCCGGCGACAATGGGAGAAGTCAACTCGGTACTGTTCTGCAATACCTAGACCAGCGTGCCAGGTGAGCCAGACAAGTGGACGCCGCCAGTCCCGTCAGCCACCTGCATCGTGGGTGTCCCTACCTACAAAAATAAGTGGTAGACATTATCTAATACAGAAAGAGTACGTACTCTGGGGAGTACGACACTGTACGCCCAGCGCTAGTCAATAGCAGGCTGCATCGCCGTGCCCACCGTTGAAGTGAAGAAAGAGCGTGTCCGCGAGGGTTGGCTGAAGCTGGGAACGAGAACGGTGCGGTGGTACGGTGGGTGTCTAAGCCTCCTCGTCTCGAGGGGAGCACCCTGACACGGAGAAGGGCAGCCGCGCTGATCAAGTACAGAATTCAGATGGCCGGCCAGTTGTCTCTTGAGTACTGAGCTCGGAGCGTTTTGTCTTGGCTCATGAAACACGGAAAAAGGGTAAAAGGGCTAACTAAGAGTGTAACCCCTCGACTGGTACTCGACTCTCACCCTGTCGATTCATCACTCGTTACCTTTGTACTTTTTTCTTCTGAACTTGATGAAAGCTTGAGGGGGAGCGGTGACATCAGGAAATTCGGTCTCATCGTCGCCTATCGTGGCTCTGCCAACTCTAAATAAAATAGAGGTGAGAGCGTATCCGTAGTTTATGCTTGTGATCGCTGTCGATTTAATACGGAGACGGGAAGAATTGAACGGACGGACGGTTTGTGCTACCAAGACGGAGAGGAGAACGGAAGGAGCCCCAGTGCTGACAGTCTTCCAGGGCTGGCCTGCTTCGGCGGCCACTGAGCTGGATGAGGAAATGATGAAAGGCCAGCGCTGCGGAAGGATCCCACACTGTGCCAGGGTCCCCGGGCACGGCGTTCCCTCTTGCAACCACGCCCCTTGCCCCGGGCTCATCCATCCGGTCAAGGGGCGTCCAATGAGCAGAGTCTTTGGGCGAGAACTGCGGGTCATCCGCAACCCATGGACGCGGGCCAACGTCCAAATGGGTGACTGACCGAGTACGTACCTGTGTTAGAAATGAGCAGGGGAAACTTGTGCAAAAAAAAAAACCACCACTGACAGGCCACCACTAAGCAGGTCCTTTGGCGGCGTAGCCCTGTCTTTTGTGACGGATATGAGGCGCTGGGATTGATTTTTCTTTTGCTTTGGAACAAGCTTCCCGTCCGTCCCTTCTCGGCCATTTGCATCGTTCCCGAGTCCGCAAAAAGGGGATCAAGAGCTCAGGCCAACGGCAAATCCTCATCGACACAGGGGTTCTAAAAAGTTTTCTGGGTGTTGCTTGTTTGGAAGGATGCTTGATGCGCAAGTATTGGTACGAATGGTGTAATAAATACATTATACATGTGTTGAAGGAGAGTGAGGTGATGTCGGTGTCCGGCAAAGCATATCGACTTGGCCTACGTTGCTGCAGACGAGGAGTGGCAGACAATCAGCAGAACGGCAGGTGGCAGCCGGGCCAAAACCTGTTGTTGGCTCTAGGTACTGTCCAGTCCAGTGGCCAGTACCAGATGGTGTTGCCCCCATTCGACCCCGCAGATAATCGTGCGTACCTTGGTCTGTAGGTACAGATGGAATCATGGGAGGCAGGCACGGGAGGGCGCTTGCTAAGTTACCTATTCTTGGACCTTTGGGAGCTTGCAGCCGGACGAATTGGCAGGCTTCGGTGGTGCAATAAGTGAGTGTTGTGTTCTTAGGTACGAATGTGTCGCGATTGCCACCGGGCTACAGCCTGCAACATCAGATAGGTAGGTGGTATGCGATCCGTAGGTATCCGTAAGGAAAGCGTGGGAAGGTAAGCAGATGAGGTGGCTTGTGCTTTCTTTCTTTCCCCCGTTCTTCGTGCTTCCTTCCTAAACTTCCCCAACCCGACACCCCGTCTTTTCCACACCTGCCCGTCTTGGCTCTGTTCCTCTTGGCAAAGCTTATCACTCGTGGCTGGCCAGCGATCTTGGCGATTGGATTTTCCTCTCATCCGTCTTTCATCGTCCCTTCCTTTCCCGTCCAACCCACCTGCACACACCGTCAGGTTGCTTCTGACTGGCTCAAGGCGGGGGCAGCCTGCCGTTATGTCGTTGCCGTTGCCGCTGCCGTTGCTTGCGCCTGCCCGTGCTGCCGTCCTGCCCGTCTCTGAATCTGACGGATGTCTCTCAATTTTGTTTTATTTTCCCTTTGCTGTTGCCCTCTCCAGACGAACCGCATCCATAGCACGGCGCGCACACTCTGACACGCAGCTCCAGCGAAAATAATCAGCCCACACGGCTACTTTACCCTCATGACACTGTCGCAGCATTAGTGTCACGGTTCACAACCTGCTCCTACTCAACACAGACACAGTCGTACGGCTCAATCCAGCTTGTGCGTTTTATTTTATTTTTTTTGTTTTTTTTAGTGTTCCTGATCGTGGACCCGCATCACCCAGCTTCAGTCTGAGCTAAGGAGTACGCGACTTGCTTGCAAGGCCGGCCGAATTAAAGTGAGGCAAGCGGCCGAGTCTCGACTTTCACACCCAAACCCCGCCGGCTGACACGACACGCGACACACTCTCTGCATTGGCCAGTAAACGACCATCTACCTCGCCTCAAGCTCGTCGATCTATTTGTGTATCCGTAGACATTTTGACCAGAGAGTCTGATTGATTGAGATCTAACTCGGAATGGAAACCATACGACGCATTATTCCCACCAGGAACAGCGCTGTAGACAACACAGCTGAGTTCAAGATCTCAAGTGACCGATGCGCTTTGATCATAATGAGGACTGATTAATACTGAGATTCAGACAAGTCAAGAGCATCTCAAAGTTGGGGCTGGAAGCGGTCGAAAGCTTCAAATCAGACAATCAGGCTCCGACGAGGGCTATCAAGCCAGTGCCAAATCGCCTCGCCAAACACACCAGCTGGCATGAGTGAAGTCGTCTCAGTCTGGACTGCGTACCTTGTAAAGTGCAACAAAACCACATATCCCAGTCACACAGTCTTCTATAGAGCCGGCGTCGGCTAGTCAAGACACGACGCCGTTCACGTCGCTTCCAATGCGGTTGAGCATTCACCAGTGTCTCCTAGACTTTGCCGCTTCTTTTGCATTCCCCGTCCCGAACCTTTTAGGTTAACATCCGAGGCGCTACTCGCCGCGACCACAGTTCCCTCCTCTCTTGGCCTACGGCAAGCCTTTACCCTGTATCGAGACTCCTATCCTAATATTCGTAACTCGCATTCAGGGCGTGGTGAAACTCATCACCTGAGATCTATGATTTATCGCCAAGTCGGGTGTGTCCGTCGTAGTCCGTCGCACCTCTGAGGTTGTCTACCTGATGTGTCTGCTCTCTTCGTGGGCCAAGTAAGGGAGTCTAGGTCCCGAAGCGGTATGCCAGGTGAGTCCATGGATGATGTGGATGCTTTCTACAATCTTCACGATGAACCCGGCGGCTACTTTGTAAAGCTGCTGAATCTGCCCCCGATCGGGAGACCTGGAACGGAGACTTTGTTTTTCTCGTCTTTCGGTATCCGGAATCCGGCTAGCTTCTGCTGTCGACCACCTTCTCCCAAGGAGATGCCAAGCCGTCTTGGAAAGGAGAAAATGGTCTGACTGGGACTCAGTAACGCGGATCTTGGCGATCTGCCTTACTGCTGTGTAGAGTTGGAAGGTCCCTCGGCGAGTTGCATTTCTCCAAAATAGGCAACACCACCAACACCATGGCTAAGATAGAATCACACAGAATCTGTACGCCAGCATGATCTAGACTTTGCTCAAGTGTCTAAACAGTCTTGGCAGCGTGGCGGCTCTCATTTAGGCCTCGCTGGGTCATCTTGAGACCTCCGCAGCATTCCTGATGGTGTGCAATCGACCCCTCGGATTCCGTGAGCTGTACCAATCAAGGACAGACAGTGACGCAAGAGTCTGTCTCTTTCATTCTCTGCCAACACCGAGTATTTGAGGACCCAAGAATGTCAATTCTTCAGAGACCACAGTGAGGCATGATGGGTACATTCCGCCGGAGGAGATTTCACAAACCAGCTGCCTCTGCGGTAGGCCAGATGGACCAAAGTAAAAAGTGCTTGGCAGTGTGTGTTGAGGGTAAACACTTCTCGATAACGAGAGCGATGCGCTACCGTAACTCTATGTCGCCTCACCCACGTCACAAGCAAACCCTCACAGAATATTCCCAATTCGTCGAGAACACCATCTCAGGGGTATCAATTATACAACCTCTATCGCAAACGCCTTTTTGTCTCTCTCCACACCTAGCACTTCACCCCCCCCTTTCCCCTTTCCTCTCCTCAGGAGCAGAGTGAACTCAACCCTCCTGCTCAAACGTATCGTTCAGATACCCAACAAAGCTCTCCCTCATCCTCTCCGCGCTAAAGTTGCCCACGCCCTCGAGCCCGATCCCGCCACGGTTCAAACCCACAAACGCCCTCCTCAGCCTCTGAAGCTGCGGCAGACCGACCTTGCGACCAGGGAGCTGCACAACAAGCTCCTTCTTCTCCCCTCCCGCCCCATCATCCCCCCTGGAGACCTTGACCTCCCCGCCCTCCTCCCCTTCAGCCTGCGCCTCCAAAATCCTCTTCACAACATCCTGCGTCTCGCGGTCCAGCACGTACAGGTAATCCCCGCTCGTGTCACGGCTGCGCTGGACCGTCGCCTGGTTGGGCTTGATGACCTTCCGCCCCGTACCCGCGACGGCGTCCCAGATGTCGTCGCACACTTTTGCCGTCTGCGCCGCGTCGTCGTCCCAGATGAGGGTGAAGAGCGGACTGTCCCAGCGCGTCATCGGGTTTGGCTCCTCGTAGCGGAAGACGAGGTTGTCCCAGTTGTCCGTGTCGTAGGGCTGCTGCTCTTCGTCGGTGTCGTCTTGCTTCGTCTCGCCTTCTGTGTTTGCCTCCTTTGCGTCCTCCGGGATCTGACTGCTATCCATTTGTGCTTCCTCTGTCGCGGTCGTCGTCGTCGTCGTCGTCGTCGTCGTCGATGCAGCCGCCCCTCGCCTCCTCAACCTCTCCTCATTTATCCCCCTAGCCCTCTCAACTCCACACCCAATCTGAAGCACGACGCTCGGCGTCCTCATAGCTTTAGCCTCGCAGTGCAACTGGTACCGCCACCCCTTGATGTAATTCATCCCGTCCAAAATAACAATATCCCGGTCCGACAGCACGCGCTTCACGGCGCCGTAGACAGCCGCCCTGGCGTCCTTTTCCGAGGCGTTGGCGGAGCGCGTGTGCGCGCGCACCTTGTTCGGGTCGAGGTCGTACACATCGCGCGATATCGAGAGCGTCGAGTCGGAGATGTAATGGAGTCGGTACGGTGGTGATTGTTTGCTGCTGCCGTCAGCGGCGGCGGCGGCGATGCGTGCTGCCAGGTGGGCTTGCAGCTGTTTTGCGCGGGTCGTCTTACCCGAGGTCGGGAGACCCGATACTACGATCAACTGTCACAGAGTTAACTTCTTTCTCCCAAGAGCCCAGGAATGGCAAGACTCACCGGCATACTGGCGGTTCGTGAGTTGGGAGGGGTTGTCGTTGAACGTGAGTGACAGACTTTGGCGGGGTTTCTGGGGATTTTTTGCATCTGCGATCAGCTACCCCACCTACCAAATCGGGACTCAAGTCATTGGCGCAGCTTGCCTATAATGTAGCCATCTTCACATGATTTCATGAGTAATTACAGAGAATCATACGCGTAACAAGTAATGTATGAATCTCGATACTTTCGAGTATGGGTATCATGAGGTCTCTGACTCTGAAAAACGCCTAAATCCCCTTCTACGTGCAATCCGCCGCTGTCCCTCGCAAATGAAAACTCTCCTCAGTCATCCATATTCTCGTCCTCGTCAACGTCGCCTTCAGGTTCCTGAGCGCCCACGATGTCAATATAGAAAAGCATGCGCTCTCCCGCCAGATCCATCATCTCCTTGGCGTAGATGTCACGCGGACTGGGGCCTTTTTTTCCGCGGCCCCGACGGCTCGGGGTCGTCGCGCTCCTCCGGTTCGTACCCCTGGCCTTGGCCTTCCGTGCCTCGATTCCCTTGAGCGCGGCTTTTCGGAGCCTGTCTCTGGCTTCCTTGGTCTCTTCCGCCGGTATCGTGTAGAGCAGGCTCTCAAGGATCAGCGCTACCCTGGCGTTGTCTTCTGGGTCAATGGTATTAGCATGGTGACCCAGGTAGCACAACTCGAGGACGTCTGCGTTTATGATGATCCCGCTGTCCTCCCCCTTGATGACCTTCTTCGGGTCTTCATATCCGGAGGGCAGCAGTTGATCGAGCTGAACGGCCAGAAAGTCGATCTTGAAGGCAGCTCCGTATCGCTGGATGTACGAACTCATGTCGGTGATGAATTGGTGAAAGAACGAAAGGGGTTGCTGCTTGAGTAACCTGCACAAGTCCAGCGTGTATTCATTGTGGTCCATGAACTCCTCGGGCATATTGTAGGCAACCTCGGAAAGGAGCTCCATCAGTCTCAGACGAAGGGGAATCGAATCTGCCAGTGGGGCAGCGACAAAATCTCCAGCTTTCCTGGCTGGTGTGCGTGGTGTACGAGGCGTGCCCGGTGTACCCGCCTCGGAGGGTTCGTCGTCCGTCAACTCTTCGTTGAAATAGTCGCCAAATTGGTCGTTCTCGATATCAAGCGTAGCCATTCGTTTGCGTTTCTTGTCCTCGCTCGGTAGCCCCTTTATCTCCTTGTTGAACACCTCAGGAAATTTCGCCAAGGATGAGGTGCAGCCGTCAGCGAAGACGGCTTGAAGGATCATCCTCAGAGCACCTCGCCCGGAGTCAGTCTTCTGCTTGATGTACATGACAAGGATTGACTCTCGCATGCGTGTCCAGTTCTGAGGTTGCTGTGATGAGGCCAAAGACTCCTCATCAAGGCGTTTCCGTTCGTAGATGTCAGCCTCGAGAACGTCAATCATGAATTTCAGCCAGGTCTTCCAGAAGCGCCAACGGTGAGGATGTAGTCTGCTGCAGTTGAAGGCCCAGCCGAGAACAGCCCAGAAGTCCTGCGCGCGCTGCCATATGCTATCTTCGTTGGCCAACTTGTTGTTGCCAATCTGATCACCGTCGAGATCCTCGTCCTCCTCGTCGTGGTATCGGTTCCGGCGGCCGTACTGGACCCCATGGAACTGGAACGCACTCCTGAAGCCGGCGTTGATGGGTCCAACAATGGCGAGGAGGTTACGCAGGTATTCCAGCGTCTGAGAGCAGACCTCGAGACGGTCGGCGCCGGGGGCTCGAGTCGTATGGCTCGGGTGGATGGTCAGGGTGTTGAGGAGGGCAAGGTGGGTTAACGGAGGGACAGGGACGCGCTTCGGGTTGGTGTTGATCTTTCGCGAGAACCCGGCAGTGAGGAGGCTATTGTACAGGCCGAGTGCGCCATTGTCTAGAATAGTCAGCGCATGTCGCGAGGAGGGTGGGCAGCTTGCTAACGTACAGAGGTGCTCTTCCAGGTAGATCTGGCAATGTTCCTTCAGCTCACGGGGGAGCAGGGTCGCGGATGAGTACATGCGTTGGGGTGATGCAGGATCTGTGGGAGTCGGTTTTTCGGAGTTGGCATCCGGCGATTGAAAGGCCGTCCTGAATGATTCTGGCGATGATACGGCAGATAAATCCGTCAAGGACGAAGAGAGCTCCATCACGAGCTGCATGGGGTTTGACGCGTCTGGAGACGCGGTTGGAAATGTCCCACTATCGTCAATTAAAGTCGGGTTGGGCAGGGGCCTACAGGGTCCCTGGTCAGTCCAGAACCTTAAATTACATAAGGCCCTTCCGGCAGAGGGACCCCCAACTCATCTGGCAGCAGCTGTTCACAGCTTCACATCCATCGCTGGTGCACCTGCTGAGTGCTAAACAGCATAGCTAAGAAGCATCCTAAATTTTGAGAAGCGTCCACATAATTGCGGCTTCATGACGCAATGAGATAAACCATAACCTGGAACTGAACCTTAAATCTGATTTTGCTGAGTGTATAGCTTGAAGGACGGGCAGGTCGAGCTGGTAGAGCTGAACTTCAGTGACTCACATAGGCGAGGCTTCATATGAGCCACCGACCACTTCCGAGAGGTGAGGTACTCAACACAGTTGAAGGCACAGTTGAAGGACCTGGCCTTTCCGTTCTTTCAAGAACTGGAGCAGTAGTAATTTAGGCTTGCGCGGAAAATAGCATTGAAATTGTTCACCGCTCATTGAGACCTACCTGATTATCGATAACTTCAATTACAGGCTGGGTGTTTCGGGAAGTCTACAGCAGCGTGCACAATTCAAACACGATAAGGTCGTTGGTGTTTTCTCTTGGTCCCCTGTAAACTATTTATTGTATGTCATCAATGCTATACTCTGTGCAGTGAGTGGCTCATCGTGGTGTCAGCCCCAGTAGTCAGTATGATACATGAGAGTGAGAATGCCACCCCTCCTAGTATGACCTGCTTGTCAAAGGAGCTATATGTGTGAGCAAACATCACACAAGCTCCTCAAATACCTTCCCAATACTGTCATTCTCTCCGTAGCAGATTGCGTAAGCCGTCCTAGCATATTGCCTCGCCGGTGCGCATAGCTCAGGGGCCACAATCTTGTACACATGGAACATGACGAGGAAGGCCGTTACGATATGCTCGCCAGGTGGACCCCATTTGATGATCCTTAGATTGCGCTTGCCTGATGCTTTTACAGCCCGGCTAGCCTCGAGAATGAAGCCACGAGCCTCGAGACTCTTGATGGACAACTCGAGAGCCTCTAAGTGTTTTCCCCTGTCCAGTCGCTTCTGGGCGAGCGCAAGGTACGAGTCCCATAGTTCCAGACGGTAAGATCCTTTTCCGGCGGCGTGAGTCTCCTCGAGCTGGCCAATTAGCTGTTGTGCCTTGGACTCTTGAGCTAGAGTCCTGCAAGCTTTCATGGTGCTCTTCAACTCTCGGAAAAGCCCTTGGCGTTTTTGGAAAGTCTGCTTCGAGATCGACTTCTTCTCTTCGCACAGCTCACATCGGCAAGTGAACCCCCAATTTTTTAGATGCTTCTGAGTTTCATCATAGCTCGCACATTCATCAGGCGGCCGGTAGCTGATCAGCAACTCCGTGTCGGCGTCCATGTCTCTCGAAGCTCGCACCACCATCACGTCTCCAATGAACGAGCGGCGACAGTTGCCGACACATGAGTGATTGATGTGGGACGCTTGAGTCCAAATGCCGCAGGTGGTATAGCTTCCTTGTTGAACTCCCGTATCAGTCAAGTGGAGGACGGATGCTCGCGGTGCACCGAAGCAATTAAGACCTATGATCTTCGCGACAAGGAACCTGTGATAGAGTTAGTGCTGAGACCTTCGCGTATTCCCATGAGATACTAACGTATCTACCACGGTTCCAATCTGCTCTGCAGTCTCGTCTAGTCGATACTTTCCGCGATACAAGTCAAAGAAGCGGGAGGCAGTCTGGGGATTGTGATGGAGCTTCTGTACAAGGCCGGAAAGAAGATCTGCCTGCCCACCCATCGTCATCCTCTTTGTGTCCCAGCTCATAAGTATCTTGATGTTCTGGCGACTGACAGTATCGTCGTCGCCAGCATAGCTGTATGCAAAGGCTTTCTCGCAGAGAAGAAGTTCACCAGCCTTCACGGGCTTGGTTGTGAAGAGCCCTCGTCCACGTCCAGGGGATTGGCGCACCTCGACAGGACCAGTGTAGGTCGCACAGTCGATTGTAGGGGGGGTGGCCTTGGCCTGGTCGTGCATGTGCTTCCACTGGTAGATCCCCTGATCTTGCTCACGAATACGGCACATAGTCCGCTCCAGTTCCTTCCCTGCGTCACGGTTTTCGGGGTTCAGGATAACAACTTGACGTAGCTTCTCGGCGCAGAGCGAGAACTGTTCCAGCGCGTAGTGGGCCTTGGCTTCTCTGAACAGTCCTTTCTCGGTTGGGTCATTGTCCTGTCGGCTCTCAATGGCATCGCTCAGTGCCTTCTCCGGGCGATGAAGCTTGAGGTTTGCCAAGGAACGGTTAAGGAGCGCTGCACGCTTATGTTCAGGCGTGGCAGCAGAGTCGAATGCCTTGAATATCTAAACCGCATTCAGTAAAACCCTCCTCGATATCAATAGTCATCATATCTGCTGCTCACAAGATTTCTGCTTTTCCCCAATCTTGCTGTGCTACAGCATTGTTTCCTTGCTGCCGGATCTTCTCGGAATTGGCACTAGGAGTCCACGTCTTCCACTGCGACGGGATGCGTTCGTCGCCCTCGGGTAGTAGGATGATGTCGTCAACGTGGTCCACTCGTAAACTGTATTTGCCATCGGTAGTCGCCTTGAAGAACGGGTCCTTGATGAGGCAGATGCTGCCTTCCGGGAATATGTCGTCAGGTTGCATAACCCTATGATCCGGCTGGTTGTAAAGTTGGAGTAAGACGGCGGTGCCGGCCTTGTCCTCAGCAATGGCCATGATTGCGTTGATCTGATCCGTGGGCGTCATTGTCCGTACGATGACGAGCTTGCCTCGGTGGTGCTCTTCCAACCTCATCTTGGAGATTGGCAGAGGCTTTAGCTCGTTGACAGGCTGGATACAGGGCAGATATGCCGGTGGAACCTGAGTAGTTGCAATATTCGACCCTCCACTAGAAGTTGCCGGGCGTGATATGCGCATTGATCTTGCCAGCATGAACTGCATCACCAACACATCGGGGGGAGGATGATCATGAGGAACGTATCCTTTTCTGCGGCCACCTCGTTCCGCGGCAGCTTGGAGCCGTTCCATTAAGGAGGCAAAGTCGCCGACATTAGAAACGTCCCTGACGTCCATGGCGATTGAAAGGTGATGTAACGCGTCGGTGTTGATTGATCCTGGTTATCGTAGCTAAATTCGCAGATTCGTTCTTCGAGGTGAGTGCGTTGGGTGAGGCATGAAGAAGAAGAAGAGGTAAGAAGAAGAAAAAGAAGAAGAATTAATAAGGCAGGGTAGGAGCAGATTTAAATTTTGTTTGAATGTAGATGAGTACATGATTGGGTACTCATACATCTGTTGGTCGTATGCGGGAGGCCGACTGCCTGACGGGAAGATGTTAGGCACAGCCCTGTTGTTCAGATTTAGGCTCACTTGAGGTACTTAGGTAGCATATCAAAAAAGCTCAACTCTGAAGTCTCACTTGATAGTAAGGGGTCTCGGCCAGTATGCAACACGGTTCATCCTGCCTCAAGGGAGCTACGTACCTTATTTGTCCTCCACGGCACATGAATATCCCATGGCGGAGGCTATCTTCAAGAGGAGAATTACACTTGGAGATCAATCTTGAGTCTCAGGCTATCGATCGAGGTAAAGATCGATTAAATTCACGAACTCAGTGAGCCTCAGCCTTTCAAAAGTTCTGGAAGAGAGAATAGAGACATGGCCATTACTTCTTCGTCGCCACAAAGCCATTATGCTTCAAAAGTCCTTTCAACGCAGATGTCTTTCTATAAATAGACAAATCTCTTTAGTGTAGCTACTTCTTTATCCCTGTGTCACCATACATACATGAATCCGAGTCCAATCCTGGCACGTAGGCCAATGACTATGTAAATCTATAATTCTCAAGACATTCATAAATTTAGGGCTTTTGTCTCTCATCTTAGCAAAGGCGAGGCCAGTGGCAACTGAAATGGTGGACATCAATCCAATATGAGACTAGACTTGATAGAATGAAGTATGAAAGCTATCAAAAAGGCAGGCCGGTGAGTCCTTGTTGCCATATCTTTTCCCATCAGGTGGTGGTGTTACTTCGCCACGGGATGCCTACCCCTCAGCAGCCCATGCACCAGAGTCTTCCAGCGTTTTCCATCACCCTTCGTCACCTCAGCACCACGTACACAAGCTTTTGAAAAGAATCTGCTTTCTGTAGCGCCATCTGAGGATAACTCTGAGTACCATGTGACCCGCCTCACAGTGCTTGGGGTTGATCACATTCAACCCGGCAAAGCCGAGCCTCATATCTAAGGATCGCCATGGTCCTCTGAGATTCTCAAACCAAGACACATGATCAACGAAAAGAAATGCAATGCCGCGTAGAGAAGTTTGTATAAATTAGACATGACTGCATCGCTATGAAGAATTGTGTAAAGTGATGTTAAGAAACGTTGACTGCAGTAGCAACAACACTACAGAAGCGAACAGCACTTAAGGTATGCACCCCTGTCTACGAGCTATCCCACGCTTCAATTGATCTTACAGGTGCCTCAGTCCATCAGAAGATGCAGTCAGGGTCTACACTCAACCGACCTCCGAGCCTCGTTATTAGGGACCCGCCAGACGACAACAGGTGGCCCAACATCCCACCGCTCCCACTCCCACCTCCGCTTAGCCCCCTCCGCAAAGGGCGTACATCCACCCGGACGACATGTCACGATTGCCTAAAGCGGATGAAGGACGCATGGCATTGGTTGAGAGGGTCATTCACTCGCCGGAGAAGGGGTAGCCACAAGAGAAGCCCCATAGCCGCATGAAGGGCGTGTGTGTGTAAGGGTGTAAGTGTGTGTGTATATAGGTCAATTTCAGCCTATAGATGCCCAACAGAGATGCCGTAGCCTTCCCTTCTCGTATCGTAACTGTGAGCGTGGTGTGTACCCCTCCCCTCATATCGGAATCATCGTCGTCCTCCAATGATATCGTCGTAGAAATGTCCCAAAACGCCCCTCTGTATGCAAGATCCCGCGGCGGTATTTAGGGCTGCGTAGATAAGGTGCGCATGCTGTGCCCTGCAGCCCTATGCCCGACATCGTGCCATTCTGAAATAAAGAACTATCCAACCCGTGTCCCCCAATCTAGTAAAAGTACAGTTTGTGTGTTCGAGCCAATGGAGCGCCGTGAGGCAGACGACATGCTCCGGTTGTGTGGTGCCGCCTCTTTCATGTTGTGTGTATTCCCGTAAACGCCGTCGATAGAGATGTGTTTGCTTAATTGTAGCTGAAATCGACTTGGCTTATTTTCCCGGGACTTTCGTAGAGTTAGTACAGGAAGCGTTACGTTTAGATTCGAAGAACTCACGAGGGTCAACGGGGAAACTTGTCTCATCTGAGCTTTTCTTCTGGAGCATCATGGGGGTAGCGTGGGCAGTAGTGTTCATGGTGGCGATTGGTCGTAAGAGGATTGAGGATTGGGTATGAGTCGAAGTAGGATGAGGCAGTGGTAGTCTTGTGATGAAGTAGTGTATGACTGTTGGTGTGAAGTGTAGTGTGATGGGTCTGTTGGAAACAAAAGAGATTCAAGGCATCAAGAAATCACAGAGCATTTATATCCAACGGACCTCCAACGAACCTCCAACGGACCAACAATCGAGCTTCATATTGAATCGACCTTGGATTGAGTCACCCTCAGGCAGAAGAGTGTGCCTGGGGAGGCAGACAAGACAATCTGAGAGGTTCAACGACTTAGTGCCCCCTAGTCAACGTTGACTTGAGGTTCGACATGGCAGTGCACGGTAACTTGTTACGACAATGTGAATGGGAATACCATATCTTTGCACGCGATTGCGCATATTCGGTATGGCGATCCTGGTTCGGTAGCAATGTAATTCCTAAAAACCCAGGGATTCGCGAAGTCTGATTCGTCTACGGTATAGGTTGTCAACATCTAAGCCTGGGTGCCTTAACGATGTGTATCAGGTAATGGACCCCTACAGATTGTAGAGCTAGCCGCAGTGCAAGGCAGATCAAAGACAAGAACCCAGTGAGTCAGATCGGTGCAACTGCAGACCCCTCCTTCCCGGAATGGATGAATTGATGAGAACATGACCGCGGCCTCAGAAACGCATCGACGTTTGCAGAATGGAGGGGTTGGGAGACGACTTGGTTGCCTGGGTTAAGACGTGTTTGGTGACGGAGATGACATGGGGGTCCTAGACGGTCTGAGGCAGCAACCCCCATTTTTCCAGGCACGAGGGGAGTCCGCGCCCTGGAAATGCAGTGCTTTTCGGCGACAAGGAGACAGGAGAAAGGGAAAACTAATCCAACGCCAACGGAGTGCCAGGTCTCGTCACGAGCAACGGATATGTGTGCGCCGTTGCGTATGACTGACAAGGCACCAAGTTGCTCATTGTTAGCGGGTGTGGCTTTGCGCTTCGGTGTAAAACGGCAAGGGCGCGTTTGCGCCCTTGCGCGCGAGGGGCAGGGAAAAAAGGTTGGAAAACGGAACAACAATGACAAAATAGAGGCACGTCGGGGCAATGCAATGCTGTCACTGCCCGTGTGACTGATCTCGGACAAACTGGGCAACTCTCGACAGGCATTACTTGCTCCGGTGGTGAGTCGAAGGCCTCAAGGCTGACTGGAACATGGTGCCGGTGAGGCTTGCGGGACGGGTACGGAGAGGCGGCGGAACAGTCATTTTTACAAAAACTCGGAGTATGTCGGGAATCACTCCCCCATTACATTTCTCGGTGACGGGCTCCGTTTTGATTGACGGAACCGGAAACCCAAGAAACATGGGATAGGAGGCACAGCCCAGTTTCCCTCTAGCACTCAAACTGACCGAACCACAAGTGGAAGAAGTTACGTCGAGATCGGTTGATTATTTTGGTGCAAAGTGTGTAAAGAGGAAAAAGGGTTCGAGAGAGGGGGGAATTGTGGTCCGCCAGACAAATAAAGAGGTGTCGTTGCCTACAGGCTGCCCTGCTTAGCTAATGACATGTGCTGCCTAAGCTTGAGCCAATCAGGGCTAGCACGTCGTCAAACCTCGTGACCTAGGAGAAAGACGGCGTCCCCACAATTTGTCGACCTGGTTTTTCTCGCAAAGTATATTTTCACGCGTTTCCCTTCCCTCTCCTCTCTTACGTCCCTCACCAGTATCAACAACAGTTCGCGGGTCACCCATCCCAGCTTGGGCTACGGATCTTATGCATGGTCCTTTTCAGATCCCAGGATGGCGTTAGACTGCCGTGTGATATCGCACGGCAGACTGCGTCTCGGTATTGAACCAAACCGTCGTCCATGGCTTTGAGCAAGCGCTGAAGCCAACCGACACGGACAAGCCCGCGAGCTCGTTTTGATGTGTGCTCACAGCACATAAGGTCTTTGGACCAACCCCACGATATGCCTACACCTCGCGATCTTACTGCGCAAGAGTGTCAACTACTTTTTTATTCGTTCGAGTGGGAGAACAAAACCAACGGTCTAGACAACCGGTCCGCTCCACCCTGATACCGTCGAGATAGTGCGGCTTCAGGACTAAAATCGGACGAACATACCACAAGGCATCTCGCACGAGTTGCACGTGGTGCGTTCTAAATTTACCTTGATTGGTGTCATTATAGTAGAGAGTCATTATTCCCAATCCCATGTCACCGAGTTGTACCTGCCATCAGATATATATGAAGGGTATTCCGACATCCTCTGCGCAAGAATTGCAATTCCACTCCATCCCTCGAGTCATTAAACTTCTGTCAAATCCAGTGCTCGCCAAAGATGTGCTTCTCGTCCATGAAAGACAACAAGAACTTGGACACCAGGCGACCCGTATAGTTGGCCGCTACATCTCGCGGGAACGGGTGCTGCTCGTGGTCGGTCGATAGGATTGGGTCATCCGCCAATCCTTCGAGTTCCTTGCCTATACACCACAAGTCAGCATTGACGGCTTAATCATTGGATTGTCGGGTCAGCCTACCGTTCTGATGGATCAAATTCCTCAGGCCCAAGACCATCTCTATGGCTGGTCCGTCCAAGTCGCCTTGCTGGGCCCATGAGTTGTCGAGCATGGGATTGAAGGGCTTGTTCGCCGTATCCCGGCTGTGGGTCTGGTAGATCTGGTGGAACTGGTACGCGAACTGCTTGAAC